GCCGGCCGCGGCAGAGGTTGCAGGCTGCAGGCAGCAGGCAGCAGGCAGCGCCGCTCGCCCTCTCGCTGGCTCGCCCCGCACGCTGTGGCTCGCCCCGCGGACGTCGCCGAGCCCAGAAATTATATTTTCAAATATTATTTCTCTACCCTTTCCTCCATTCTCTTCTTCTAGAATTCCCGCTATGTGAATATAAGAGACTTTCCACCCATCTTCCATTTCTCTTAACTATTATGCTTTAATATTTGTTATCTTCCTGTCCCTCTGTCTATAGTTCACACTATCCACTGCACTTTATATTTCAATGGTTTTTTTCTATACCCAAGAATCTTTAATACTAATAATATTTTTCTTTAAATTGACTTACTTTGGGAAAAAGAAAAATTTCTTTTAGAACTAGTCTATCTGATAATTACCACTACAGATATGTCTGCTACTTACAGCTGTGATATAAAACATTAAAGTAATGTACCAATTAAAATTTAAATGTCTGCTCAGATATCATTTAAAATTATCTTAAGTGTATGACCTCTTTGAAACCTGCTGCCTTAGATAAACTTGGCCCTGGTACACTTATCAGAAGAGAGATATCCCATGAGACCCTAGAGGATCTTAACGCTCCATGCTGCTAATGACTGACTCAATTACAACACATCAACATACAATGAATCTGAATATTGAGTTGCTTTTCTTTCTTTAAAAAAATAAATATAAGACTAACTTCATGTAGAGAACTCAACTCGTTCCAGATGACTACAGGCATTATTGGCACTGAAAGGGATCTTGTAAACGAGGAAAAATAAAAAAACAATTTCAAGTTAAACCAAAACAATTTTTGCATAGGGATTACTAGTATTATGCAGCAATAAGATAATGCACATCTTAGAAAAAGGATTCTCAATGAATTCTGAGGAAACTAGTCTTGCTGCTTTTTAAAGTTGAATAAAAACTTAAAAATAAATCTGCTGAAACCATTTTCAGATATTAGCTCATCGACGACTTAAATAGGAATTCAGTGTTCAGGTTTATTACCTTTGGCAATTCCCATTCTGACCGAGATCCATCTGCACTGTAGTAATATTGTCTACCTTGATCGTCAACATGCTTGAGCCACTATAAAAACAAAACAAGTGTTTTTTTTAATTTAAGTAAACTTGAGTTTAAGCCTATACAACCAGAGATACTAGATGATATTCTTATGAATTCTGTTCTACTTGCTCAAGAACATTGTAAAAAAAAATAACAAATTTATACTAACAGACTTGCATTTTAAGTTTGGTAAAAATAAGTAAACTATAAACATTAAAATGTGAATCTATCTTTTATCCAATGCCAATGTCAAGCTAGTGATTCAAGCACCACTTAACAACATAACAAAAAATACACAACATAAAGATACACAGATGTATCTGCACTGGACACGGGTTGAGAAATTAACAAAAAATTTTTTTTCAATCTTTAAGGATAAAATTACTAAACAATTTAACCCAAGCCGTGCAAACCCTTAGGAACTCCCTCCTGTAGCCAACACATCTTACTCAATACAGTTTAAATGACACCAACAACAAAACTTCATACAATACAGGGAATATGAGGAGAAGATGATGAAGATACAAACATATGATCTTGACTGTGAAATGAATGAAAATCATTGTTTCCTTATGTTCTAGAGCCAAGTAAAGCAGGAATGAGGGGTAAAAACCTGTCTCCATTTATTCCCAAGGGTCTTAAATTCTTTATGTTAGCACAACCAACCAGTCACCTTCTCAGATGATAAACATGTAAAATTTCAGCATGCATTCCCAAACTAGGTCATTAATGATAAAAATACTAGATTCATGGTTTTTGTTTTACACAATTTGGTTATAAAAGAAAAGGGAGTACAGAAAGTGAGACAGGATATCATAATGCTGGCATGTTGAGAAAACCATTCCCCAAAAACTATTTCTCAAGAAAAATACAAAGAAATATGTTTGCTCAAGAAGTCTAAACAGAATGACACTCAACAGGTCTGCTCTTAAACAGGTCTGGCTTAAATAGGTCAACACCACAAAAATCACTGCAATTACAAGCAGTTTAAAACCATGAACCAGTAGTGACACTGAGTTTTCGTACTGTCACAGTTGACATGATTACAGAATTACAGTAAGATATTTTCATGAGTTCTTAAAATACTACTAAAACTTTAGGACACACGATTTTACGTGTGGATTCTACCGAAAAATAAAACCAGATGAGAAAAAAAGAATGTACCTTCTCCTTGGTAAAGTCACTGGTATATAAGGTATGCCCACGTTCATCCAACTCTTCTGACCAACCCCTTGGAGGAGAACCACACTGACTATCTGACTGGCTGTGACAACTGCTGTGGTAGTTCTCTTCTGATGAAAGAAGCTATAAATAGTCAGAAACATAAGGATTTTTCTTCTTTGAACACATATATATGCATATATGCAGCAGTTGAAACTCTAAGCAATTGACGTTGGCTATAATGTACTAAGATCTTGAACATATTTAAATATTTTAATTTTCAAAACAAATTGCTTAGTCTTTTAAATGGTACATTGTAAGTGGTGAGGTTTAAATGGTACGTTGTAAGTGGTGAGGTGAAATTAATAATAGTTATTTTATCACATTAATGCAACCCTAGAAAAATTCACTATAATGAGACTGGAAACAATGTTTTCAGACTGAGAGAGGAAAGGCTACCTTACATTTAATGCTGCTTTTGAACTGAAACCAGGTTTAAAGTGGCAGGGGTGTGTATGTGTAAGCAAAGCGGGGAGGTGAGGGCACTTCATCAGACTGAGATTGTTGAAAGTTCTCAGCTATTTATCACAAGTTCCCAACCAAAAGCCTGGCAAAGAGTGCTCAAATATATCTTCAACTATTTTTTTTTTAAAGTGTGTGGGATGGAGAGAGGGGAGGGAAGACACTAGGTTTGTAACACTATATTTTATGTTCTAATTTAATGGCAAGTTGTCCTAATCCACTCAACCGAATGCTTATTTAAAACTATTAGAAACTAAACTTTGAAACAAGAAAAAATATTGAGAAAATTCAAACACGATACAGAAAGATGAAGAAATTCCGTACAGTTTAGGTGTGCTTTACTTTAAACTCCAGGCATACAGGAAGATTGAGAACAGCTAACAATTTCTGTTTTCTTGAACTAGAGGCACCGTAATATGAGCAGCAGCAATCTGCTTACTGCACTTAAACTTTGTTCATTCAACAAATATGCACCAGGCTAACTCTCATGTGCAAATGACCCTTCCAGGGTCACTTTCAGGTAAAACAGCTTTTGCAATTAAATCCTACTCAACTGGACTGTATTTTCTACCATAAGTTTGTCTGAAACACTAAGATGTGTAGATTCTCAATGTTATAGGAGTAACTTAGACATAAACATCCTAACATTAGTAATATGTTCACAGAAACTGACCTAGATTACTTTACAGAAGCCTTGCATAAAGTGAGCTGTATGTTTTATAACTAATGCTTTTAAAAAATGGAAAATCTAACTCAAAAATCAAGATTCATTTTTATCTGAGACCACTTATAAAAATGTGTGCTCATATGGGAAGAGAAATGCAATAAAACCTTTTAGAAACAGAATAAAAGAAGGCAATCTATACAGTGGAATATTATTCAGTCATTAAGAATGAACTTTTGCTATTTGTGACAACAGGTATGGATCTTGAGGGCACTATGTTAAGTGAAATAACTCACAGAAGAAAGACAAATATGATCTCACTTATATGTGGGATCATAAAAAACAAAACACACAAAACCAAGCTCACAGATACAGAGAACAGACTGGTGGTTGCCAGGGAGGTAGGCAGTGGGTGAAAAGTCAAAGGGCACAAAATTCCAGTTATAAAATAAGTCACTCATGGGGATGTAAGGTGCAGCATGGTTACATAGTTAATAATACTGTATCACACATTTGAGAGATACCTGAAGAGCAGATCTTAAAAGTCTTCAGAAAAACTATTCTGTTAACTACATATGGTGACAGATGTTACCTATACCTACTACGGTGATCATTTTGCAATATATACAAATATCAAACCATCATGTTGTACACCTAAAATTAATATAATGCTATATGTCAATTATATCTCAGTAAAATTTTTTTTATAAAGAAGGCAATCTAATTAGTAGGAATTAAGAAAAAAAATCACTAAATCAGTTTTTTCATAAACATGACTTTTTAGTTGCCACAATGCTCACATAATTTCCAAATTTTTGTGCAGTCAGCTGTTCCCTTCTGCCATGAAAAGTAACCTCCATTATCTCAACATGTTTTATTACATTATAAAACCAGGAGTTGCTTTATGATTTTGAAAATTATTGCCAGAAAAGAGCTGTTTAATGAAAATTAAATAAAATGTAGCCTAGAAGAAACACAGGGGGCTCCACACATGTTCCATTTCTAGGAGAGTGACAGGCAGCCACCCAACTAGTCACCTGGATGAAAACAGTGTAAAACAGTACATAACTTTTTCTTATCTTTTTAATTACCAAGGAGCAAGAGAAATACTCAGGAACAAAAACTAACTGGAAGCAAGAATCCAGAAAAGTCGGTAGAATAAAAAGGCAGCTTTCTCCTCGAAGGTGTCTGCCAAACCCTGACCAAAACATCAGTTTTCAAGGCCACGTACAAGTGTTGAGGAACAGGACTCAGGACAACCTAAGGCAAGGAGCCTAAGAGGATGCCCCATAATAAAGAACAGGCACCCCAAAGAATTAAACCTGCAGATTATGGGGTGAACCAGAAACAAATCTTGTCCCTTTATTCCACACTAGGAAAAACATAGGGATCTTCCCAGATAATTGGGGGAAACTGGGGGAGTCCCCAGCCACAAGCGAGCCTTCACGCAATCCAAATTACTACTACCCGGGTGGCCTATGAACACGAAAGCTGCAAATTTAGTTTCAAATGTTCACAGGATACTAGCTTCCCCAGGCACCTGACAGAAACAAAAGCAAACCCTCTGAAGGAACAAATTTTCAATCCCAGCATTAAAGACTTGCTATATGTATGAATTTCCAAAAACTGTAAGCTCACATCAAAACACACACGAGACACGAAACAAGACACCATGAGTGAGAGTCAGCAGAAAAACGTAGACTCTCAAAGACTATATATTGGAACTATCAAAAACAAAGAAGAAAATAAGACTTAAGAAAGCTATGACAAATATATGTGATGTATGATCCTTCACTGCAAAAAAAAAAAAACTATAAAGAATATAAGTTGCCAAGTGAGAAACATAGATATTAACTAGATATTAAATAATAATACCAATATTAAATTTTGGGGTGCGATAAATGATTTTTCACCAAAAAAAATTTTTTTTTTGCTGGAAAATGTCCTATACTCAGAGAATAAATTATTATGTTATCTGGTCCAAATGATTCAGAAAAAAAATCACTGGAGAGCAGAGGAGGAAAGCAAACACAGTGATGCTCCGTGAGGACCCGGCTTAGACGCTCACTGTACTATTCTTTCCACTTTCCTGCAGGTTTCAAACTTTTCGTAGTAGTAAGAGGGGGAAGCTCCCCCAACAAATTAAAAAAAAAACACATTTTTTAAATTCAAAGGTAGGTTTAATATCAAATAAAGATGCAGATAAGGAGAAAAAGAGCAGACAGGAGCTTGACCTGGAAGTGACCGCAAAGGAAGCACAGAGACAGCAAAAAAACACCCAGGTGGAGAGGAAACCAAGAGACCACGATGAGCGGAGTAAGCAGAGTAAACGTTCACGTAACCAGAGCTCCAGAACGAGAGGGAACAGAAAATGGGGTAGGAGCTATACATACATGACAACTAACATTTATTTCCCAGAACTGATCAAAGACAGGACTCCTCAAATTCAAGATTCCAACAAAGCCCCGGCAGGAAATAAAAAAGACACCTTCACCTAATCACATCACAGTGAAATTACAGATATGAGATCTTAAAAGCTGCCCGTAGGAGAACGGCAAGTTGAATTCCCAACATGGACAACGGAAGCCTGAGGACATGAGAATAAAGCCTTCAACGGACAAGGGAAAAACAAAAACCAAACAATCTGCTTAGAACTGTGTACCAGGTAAGGGCAGTCTTCAAAAATCAGGACAAAAAAGAAAATTTCCAGAAAAACAACACTAAAATGTTATCACTAACAGACGCTCACCAAGGAAATAAAAACGTATGTACTTAAGACAGTAGAAGTTATCCAAGATAATCTAATTTGCATAAAGAAATGTGAGAAAACACAACGGGAAATGTGAGGATTAATTTTAAGTATCACATGGACAATGACAGGGGAGGGTAAAAATAAAAACAAAACATCAGACAACAGCAGCACAACAGCACGGACAGTTCCTGCGCGGTTCTGAAGGAGCAAGAAGACACCGATGAACCGCGGGCCACGCTGAGTGCACGCGCTCTGGTGTCTGGGGCGCGTTTGTCAACAGCAGCTAGATGTTCAACAGTATCTCTGGCCTCTACCCCCGAGATGCCAGCAGCCCTCCCTGAGACATAACAACCCGAAACATCCCCAAACACTGTCTAATGTCCCCCAGGAGGCAAAATTGTCCCCAGTTGAGAACCACCGTTCTAGGACAACCACTAAAATAAAGCTTCTGACTGAGGATGAAAGACAACACTTGTTCCCCGTCAAGCCCCACTAAAATAAAAGTACTGAAATAAGCTTGAAAAAAACCTGGCCCCCAAGAACAGGGGGAACACAAGAAGACACGTCAGCCACAAAACTCTGCAAGCTGAGAAGCAGATGAACAAAAATCTCAATTATCCACAAAGACAGCAGAATCTAAACCAGTAGGGGCAGGGGTGGTGCTGAGAAGGGAAGATGAAATCCAACAAATTCTTCAAAAGACTCCAGGACTAAGATGAGGACTGAAATCATCAGAGTCCCTTTCCTCAGGCCTGGCCACTAGCTGTGCACCCTCTGCTCCAGCAGAAGGATGGATTCACTCCCTGGTTGGGTGGGGGGGTCACACCAACATTCTGAGTTGGAAGACAATAGGCACAATCAGGACCCAGGTACCAAACCAAAGAGGGGAGGCTGAGGGGGGTACGGCTCAGTGGTAGAGCACGAGGCCCTGGGTTCAGCCCCCACAACACCTCCATTAAAAAAAAAAAGCTATTAAAAAAGAAAAAAAAGAGGGGAGACCAAGGGACTGGATGCAAACTGGATGCAAACGCCAGCACCAAGACCCTGGCAGCTCTTACCTTCCAGGTTTTAAGATGTCTGCAGACACTGCTTAGTCTAAAAGGAAAGACCTAAAGTTCTAACACTGGAGACGCCAACAAGCAGCTGACCCAGATGAAGTGAAGTTCGATGCCTGGCAATTGTGAGGAAGAGTGATTTCCAACCAAGAATACTATACTCGGGCAAACTATCAATTAAATATGAAGGCAGAACATAGACATTTTCACACACACAGTCTCAATTTTACCTCCCGGACACAGTCTTTCTGAAATTACTGGAAGGTGTGCTCCAGCCACATTGGAAATACCTATTTCTGTCTAATATGTGCAGTAGCAGTGTGAGCTGAGGCTCTGATGTACAAATCACTCTCATCTATCCACTGAAACAGGAAGCTAAGAAATGTTAAAAAGTTCCTGTGTGTACTTTAAATTCCTTTAAATTATTCTATCATTTAGCCCTTTCCCTAATTCTTCCAAATTATAAGATTTGACTTTATTATTGACACACAGGACAACTTATTTTCAAATCTTCCTATTTTTTAAATTTTTTCCTGCGTGGGGGGAGGGTAACTAGGTTTATTTATTTGGTTTTTCAGTGGAGGTGCTGGTGATTGAACCCAGGACCTTGTGCGTGCTAAGGACCCGCTCAACCACTGAGCTATAAACCCTCTCCCCTTAAATCTTTCTAGATACACAATTCAAATCACTTCTGAACACTCCCTACTGCAGTAACACGTGAACGACTTCTCTCACTATTCTCCATCTCATTCTTGAAACTCAAAGCACAAGTCACCACCAGACCAGAGCTATAAATAACCAACTGAAAAATAGGACAAGAAGAAGGGTTATCAACTATAAAAAGCTTTTAGACTCTGCTAAACACAGGATGTGTTCCCTGACTCTCCAGCCTCTACCCACCTGGGGTTCTGTTTTTATCACACAAGCCAGTTGCCTTCTCTAAGAGCAGGGTGTCCCGGGCAGGTGCCGGGGCCTCAGTCATCCACACTCCAGGACTTAACTCCATTCTGCCAATCCTACCCTTAGCTTCTCCTGCGTATTTCAACAGTCCTGAGGAATCTCTCCAGACCTCAGAGATGAGTATTTCTCAAAACACTGTTGGCCAGTTCACTGCACCACCCTGAGAGGTGTGGGGAAGGTGAAACCAAGGCGGGGTGGGGATACAGTATGGACACTTATTAGAGAAAACAGTGATTTTAGAGTAAACTGTCAGACTTAGAGGACAGTCCATTTGTAGCAAAGGAATTATATTTACTTCCCCTGCATATAAATAAAAAGTGATCTTGTATCTCTGACTGACAAAAACTGAGAAGTATCTTGCTATTGTTAGCCCTACCAAAACACAGTGAAAATTATCAGTCAAATAATTTTGTTCTTATTTGTTTGACTAAATCATCTATTTTCTTTCCTTCTTTTTCTAAAAAATGTCTCTGCTTGGGCAATGGCAATGATTGAATTAGTACCTCCTAGCACGTGAGGGGAACCACTGGCACTAGGCAACATTAATCCAGTTAACTCTGGAACTAGTAAGCATGCTACAAGGTTAGCTACTGTCTACTAGTTAGAGATTAGGAAGAAGCAAGCATTAATATAACAGAATGTGGAAAGAACATTTAGTGCCTTAGAGATTTCAAGGGTTCTACCATTTCAGTGCCTAGAAACAAACCTACTGATGTCTTTCGTCTCTGAGTAACAAGAAGGAAGTCTGGTAACTCACGGTGATTTTCTACTGCTCATACCTCATGCTCTCCTGGACTCTGGGAATCTCCTTTGCTTGTGTTTGTATCTCGAGTCCAGCGAGGGGGCTTCCACGTTCTTTCCTGTGTCCCTCTGTTATAGTAGTAACAACGCCCCGAACTATCCTTGTGAGTTTCCCATTCTCCATTGATCTGAATGGCGGGGCTTCCGGGGAGCGGCGGGAGGGCGGACTGGGATATTTTCAGTTCCTGCAGGTTAGCGTACACGGGAGAGTCTGGCCGTCCTTGATTTGGGGGTGTTGTCGCCTGTGAAAAACGTGAAATAGCCGTGTTTAAGCTGGCTATTAATTTACAAATTAAAATTAAATGAAACACGAGATTTATAAACATAAATACTAATTCACTTAAAAATGTACGTATAGGGGTACAAATTCTTTCTAAGGAAATAACAATTGAACAGTTTTAATATTCACAGTTTGGAAAATACACAGAAGCTTCAACTAGAATTCAAAGTTTGCTTAACAACTGCCCCTCACCCTGAAAGAACACTCGCCGAGAAGTCAGGAGCTGGGGTCCTCGTTCAAGACCTGGCCTAACAAGAGGCTTGACACTGGAATAGACCACTTCATCTCTCTGAAACTGAACTTTTTAAATCTCTATAAATGAAGGAATTTGGATTAAACCACCTAGGTCTCCACTAGCTCTAAAAGTTTATGATTTTAGGCAAGTTTTAAAATATAAAGTCTTATACATGGGTAGGTCAGCATTTATTCAGAAAACTGTCGAAAGAAGGATTTTATATTCTAAGCTCTAACGTTAAATCAGGAGTCCAAGTGAAAGAAAAAGGAGATGTAGTGCTTCAGCTCAGAATTTATTACATCCTATTCCTTCTTAGTGATAATTTCTCAACAGCCATAAACAAACCTTTAATCTCTTCCTAATTTCTGTATCTGTGATTTTCCTAAGAGTGGAAAAACAAGAATTAGCAATGGCTCTATGATTTACATGCTTAACCTCAACCTTCAGTTTACTTTTTATTTTTAAACGTCTCACTAGATGTCAGTCAAGAGCAGAGCGCCCTTCCTACGCTTTGCCTAAGGACACTGTCCACTGTGTTAAGTTAGAATTCTAGATGCTGAAAGAATACCTTTTTATATTGTGTTTGTATTTGTGAAAACACCTCTCCTTTTACAACAGGGCTTCTCAACCTCAACACGACTAACATTTAGAGACAGATTATTCTCTGTGGTGGGAGCCACCCTGCTCACTGTGAACTGTTCAGTAGCATTTCTGGCCTCCACCCACTAGATGAGGGTGGTACCCCTCACCATGACAACTAAAGAGAAAGAGCCTCTGGGCATTGCCCAATGTCCCCTGGGGACAAAACTGTCCCTGGTCGACAACCACTGCTGCACCACCATGTTAACCGTAGAATTATTCAGATGTGTGATTACTTTTATAATGTACCCATAGTTTTATGAATGTTTAAAAACACTGAATTACAAAAAAGAGAAATGTGGATGGATACATTAAATCAGTTTATTAAAAATTAAAGTACTTTAAATTCTAAAATATGATTTGCCTACAAAATAATCATAATGAATCTAAATCACAGAATAAGTTTTAAAAAAGAAAACAGCAAAAATAACCCAAAACATGAATTTATTTGTAAACTAGTTCCCTTTGGTATTTATGCAAATACTGTACTCGGTCATACAGATTAGACCATTTTCCTATAAATGTTACCTTTGAATTTAGACTACCACCAAACTTCATCTTTCTAAGAAGAAAATCTATCCATGAAGACAGATTTCCATGTATTTCTCTTCTAGACTAATTCCATATTCTGGGGAATCAGCCAAGATAACAATGCTCCTCTGACTAAAATGTACTCTGCTAATTAACAAACAATTCTACACAGTAAATCATCTCCCAGGACCTTATCTAGAGAGCATTTATTCAGCAAGTGTTGCATAAGTTCTCAGTCTGCTCCTGATACTTAACTCATCTTGGGGAAATAAAGATGCCAACAAACAGCCACTGTCTCAACGATTTTATGGACGCATGTCACCACAGCTTTAAGAAATAGCTCATTCCTGTTGCTTAAACAGTTCAAATTTAAACAGGTTTTCAATTTTAAAAAACTGAAATGCTTTAACACAGTTTATAAGAC